GACTGCATGCCATGCATTTTGCCATGACTGAAGCGTAGCAATACATCAGCATACATCAGCCGAGTCACCTGAAGCAGGTGCTGTGGCCGAAGTCAGTGAAATGATATCCTTGGCCATCAGGTGGGGAGGTTTTTGCGTATTCGAGAAACAGAAGGCTGAGTTTGCGTGGCAGGTAAAGATTCACAAAGTGCGGGAAGTATCCCAGAGCTATGACAGCGCTATGACGCTTCATCGCTTCTAAGACCGTGGCATGTTAACCAGCGAACCCTGCGACACAAAGAACCACAACACACAAACATTGTAAACAAGGAGCCAGCATAGATAAGTGGGTCATGCACGCAACAGTACCCGTTCGCAAAACCTAAGACTGCGCTAGGGCATCTACACCAATATGAGAATAGTGGAACCGCCTGTCTGGAGTCTAGCGCTGCGACAAAAGCTTCGCAAACATCATCTTGCATCTTCTTCTCTTGAAAGTAAACACAGGAATCCAAGCAATAACACCGGCAAGACAAGAAATCTACTGAGTAGTGATCACCCAGAGGGTCCAAAGTACCTTTTTAGCAGAATGCAGGGTTTCCATATTAGGAATTACGGTGATGACCTAGGGAAGTATCCCCCAGAACAGTACAAAGGACCCTTTGGGTCACAGCACAAGCTTCCTCGTCTCTGACATCGGGACCCCCGAAAAAGACCGGTAGAGAGTCTCCGAACCCCTAAACCCTAAACCCCTAAACCTCTCAACCCCTAAACTCTCAACCCCAAAACTCCGCCTGAACCACTAAACCCCCAAAGACCTAAACTCTAAACCCCAAAAGGAGTCTTAGCCCCCGAGATTTTCGCGGAGGCTCTCGTGGCCGCGTCGAGGCCCAGGTCTTCGAAACAGCCCTCCAAGTGCCGCCGCACCTCCACGAGACTCCAAAGGATCACCTATTTTCTGGTAATTTTTTGCTGGGTTCCAAGATTTGCCTGTTGTTTCTAAAACGTGTGTATGGGATTCTGTTTGGCGGTAGGAGAGGGTCCATGTTTGTTTTCTTTTGGGTTTTACGAAGGCTTTATGGGTGTTTTGGGAGTTATAACGACGTTTATAGGGCTCCTGTGTAAGTAGAATGGATTGATAAGGCTCCCACATTTAAGAGCTTTATACAGGGGTGTGTGACTGCGAATGCAGACCCATAGGCCAAGCAACAAAATCAAACTGTCAATGCACAGGTATAGTTCTTATTCAAGGGCCTTGCGCACAGAATTGGGGGTCCACTTGAGGGTTGTATAGAGTTCTCTTGTTGTAGGGATTTAGGCATTGTAAGGGTGTGAAGGTTGAGGAGTTCAATACTTTGGGGTTGTTGAACGCGTCGTTTTGTCGACTTATCCAGGAGGTCTTCTGTGGGGGTTGAGGAAGTCTTATCATTTGCTGACATGCACCCGGTGTTTCGGCGATTTCGGCGCTCACACTCGGACAATTCAGGCGAGGCATGTGGTTCGAGGTCTGCTGAGTGAAACGATCTAGTGGGAATGGTGCAGGATACAACTTCATCTGGAATTACACCAGATGCCAGTGTTTAGGGGTTCAGGTTGTGTAAGATTTAAGTAGAGATTTGGGACCGGCCAAAACTCTGGCTGTCAAGCTGCCGCATTCCTGGAGAAACTCTGCCTGGCAAACGGAGCCGCCGTTGACACCCTGTTGAAGGAATGTAGGTTCTTTAACTAAACGTGGGCGCCCTTCAACCCTTAACCTGAACCCTATCAACTCCTGCACGACCGCTACTTCAGCCATGCTTTTTCATGAAAAATCACCGAAAGTCATGAACAAACACCCAAACCCATCAACTCTTTCACAACCGCCACCTCAGACGTGGGGATGTTGTGGTCGATTGTCAGCTCTCGACGGACGTATCCGTCGATCTCCTGCTGAGACCACGCAACACTGGCCGTGGTTGTGAGCTCCGATCCCAATTCCACACCACGTACGGCTGCATGCTACCGACCTCTTGTAGGTGACATCTGGTTTCTATATGTATATACATATATATATATATATATATCTATATATATATATGTGATATATGATATATAGATGTCCACATTATAGTGTGGTTGTTAAGGCCTTCGCATCCTACCGTTTCGGGGCTCAGAGCGCGGAGGGGAACTGCAAAAAAGAGTCTTCGATGACGCGGAGTCCTTGACGCAGTGCGCCCTGAAGAATTGCTCCTCCTGGTGCTGGAAGCTCCTTCCAGGCTTCGGGCTTACTTAAAGGGATCATGGAACTTAGTAAGGGTTCTTAAAGGGCTCCTTGAAGGGATCTATAGGGATCCTTAAAGGGATCTATGGGGTTTATAGGGTTTAGGGTCTACTTAAAGGCTCATGCGACTTAGTAAGTAAGGTTATAAGTAGGTTATAATTAGGATAACCCCACTTAGGGGACTTATAACCCCAATTATAACCTGTACTTACTAAGTCCCATGATCTTATAAGTAAGGTTGTTTTAGTGCACTGGGACGTGGCGGCTCCTGCTCATACGAGCATACACTGAAAAGTGAAACATGTTAGACATAGAGCCGCATGAGAAAGACACCGCAGGTCACCAGGTTGTCAAAAAAAAGAGTAAGGTTTAGGGTTTAGGGTTTCAGGTCTCGGGTTCAGGGAACACTCCGCAGCTTGGTTGCTGTGAGTCCCTCACTCTGTAGGTTTCTGTCATTGTAGTCTTGCTTCCACACAGTGTCAATGCAGCACTCGGGATAGCAGCGCAGACACATGCATGTATAGTGTTTACATATACGTTTTTATGCATATAAATATTGCAAACAAAGAAACATACATATATAATACATATTATATATATATATATACACGTACATATACATATACATATACATACGTATACACACATGTGCACGCATGACACACGCGCACACACACACACACAGACACACATATCATCTCCGCGGCGCACGTCTGTGCAACATCCACGCTGATAGGCCGAGGCACAAGAGACTGTCATATCCGCCTGACGGCAGGTAGCTTTGCGTAACTTCCGCCCGCTATCATCAGGGGGCAGTTCACAGGATTGCGAGTGCTGCTCTGTTCTGTGTTTATCTGCAGAATTTGTGTAGAACGACTGTTTGGTTCGCTGTTGTGTGGGCCGCAACGGGTAGTGTTACTTGTCCCAGCACGCAAAACACCAATACGTCCGCACCAACAAGCCCAAAGGGTCCAAGTACAATTATATTAGGTACTCAGTAGGTATTTGGGCCCCAAAAGTATATACTATCCTATTATTTGGGCCCTTTGGGAAGTATGCATCCCCAGCTCAAACCAACGAGTTCTGCTACTATGGCCTCCCTGACGATGGTGCTCCGCAAGACGGGCCTTCCAAAAAGGATAGAGAGCCAGGATTTCTGCGGTTCGGAGCTTAGAGTTTCTATGTATGCTAATTCTGTTCGCATGCAAATGCATAATATATCAAACTTCTGCATTAGTTCTATGGATTCGGACATTGCTTACTGCATTAGATAAAGCACACTAACACAAATTCGTGGCTTCGTTGGGTTCTTAAAAAGTTAGACCCTAAACCATATGTAAAGCCTTTTGGGTCGCGGGTTCCAGGGTATTAGACTGTAGCCTGTCTGGTGCACGGAAGATTCGGGGATTGGCAGTCCCGATGTTCGTCACAGTTCGGAGCCAGCGGTTCGGTTCCATTAAGAAATTGATAGGGTGTCAGGTCATGGCTGAGCACCTAATTAGATGGGTGTAGGAGTATCCGGGAAAGTCTTCGGTGCTTCTGAAGGTGTGCTACTTCTGCAGCACGATAATGCAGGGAGGCGTGGGATAAATGGAATGCGTGATCCCAGAGTTCCCTCCATTTCCTGTGACCTTCCGGTACAACCACGCCAACAAAGGTCTCAATTGCTCTTGGTGGCTAGCAAAACTAAGAGTTTTGGCGGTATACTGTGCTGAAGTATGGAGGGACTGCAAGGGGATGTTCTAATCAGTCCGACCCCTGAATTAGGCGAGCTGCTTCTTTCAGCTCTTGGGCGCGAAGTTCCAGGAAGCTGTCAACAAGGTCTCCTACGAGACTCTCGGTACTCTCATTGCGGATGTGCCATGAACCTGCTCGTCAGAGTTGCCATGGGGCTCGGGATTCCCCAGAGGTCAGGTTTCCCCGGGCCCAGTTGGCTGGCCACGATGTCCTGCAGTCTTCGCAGGATGTGCTGCGCACCTTGCACTTCGTGAGGCTGCTGGAGCTGTCCATGGATGCACGTGTTGCCTGCAGGTCTCTGCTGTGTGTGGTTTCTGCTACACGGCCTCAGGGTGCTCGCGGGCTCTTCACAGCACTTCGGCAAATGTGGTGATGCTAGTTGCTGGCGGCCGTCGTCTGTCTGTAAACATTTGCGTGCGAATAATAGGTGTGCGCAGAGTCAAGGTTTGCACGTGGCATGCATCCGACTTCACAAACGAATCTTGAATGGTTGCACATCGCTAGTGTGGACTTGCCGCTGCGACAGCCCCATCCCGACAGGTAGCTGCCGCATAATTGGAAGTGTTGCCTTGTCAACCATGCTTGCTGTGGCTGCGGCCGCGAGATGTGCACGTCACTGAGCCACTTTCGAAGCTTCGCATCGTTATTGAATCACGCTTGCCATCATCATGGTGGGCAATCTCATCAGACTGTGCACCGCCATCATGGAAATGATGATGCCGATCGCTGTTTGGATGCAGGTCAGCACGACCGTCAATACAATCATGGTATCACTGCCATGCTGGTGCTCGACCTACTTACCTCATCTACCACGATAAGCACTGCTTCCATTGCCAACATCATCACCACACGCATCTTGCTCCCACAGACTGTACGTAAAACCATCGCGGTAATCTCCGCTATGAAAAAGATCAACCCTTCTGTGCATGCCAGAGGAAGGACAAGGTCAGACGGAGCAAGGTGCAACATGTCACAACGTTGATCGCAGTAGCCCTTGAAGCACGGAGCAGACGCCGACTTGGGCTTACCATTTTCTAGACCCGTGGCGTCCTGTCAGGGAATAGTGCCCCACCAAGGAATGCTCAGCATCCACACGGCCCCGGCTGAAGCCGCGGTAGACGCCGCCCAGACGAGCCAGCTCGACCTGCTCAAGGGCTTCTTGTTGGCCAGGGAAGAGCGGGGCCTTCATGGCTCATATATGCATATACGTATAATTAGTTAATACATATATATATGTATATATATATATATATATACATGTGTGTGCATGTGTCTAATATACATATATATATATGTATATATGTACATATGTTTATATGTATATATGTATATATGTACATATGTTTATATGTATATATGTATATATGTATATATGTATATATGTATATATGTGTATATGTATATGTATATGTATATGTATATGTATATGTATATGTATATGTATATGTATATGTATATGTATATGTATGTATGTATATATATATATATATATATATATATATATATACGGTCGAGCATATATATATATATATATATATATATACTGATCGTAACAGAAGAGCGACAGGACCCTGAAGTGACTGTGCCACTGCCACAGCTCAAAGAGACTCTTGCTCGAGCCCCATAGAGCTGCAACGTTGCAGGTCGCATGCGTCGCATGCGTGCGATACAATGTAAATCTGTTTCTATTCACTGCGACCATAAGTACCCTTCAGTGTTGATGCCATGGAGCCAAAACATCGAAACCAAAATCAGAGATCTGACCCCCCGACCATAAAGCATCAGCAGGCCTCGACGACTACTTCCAGAAGGTCTGCTCCAAAACGGTTGGTGGGCGAGAAAGCTGTCGCAGGTGTCATGAAACCCGTCCAGAGAAAGTTGCCAAGATTCTTGTTCCTCGGATGCAGGCAAAAACAGGATTGTGTAGACGCGCAAAAAACGCAGTCGAACCTCCGAGTCGCTTTGCCTTACGGAGTCTGCATAGAAGCTCAATCTGCGGACCGTGCGCTGTAACGTAGCTACTTCGTCCACACTGTCGATATGCGAGCACCTGTTTTGTTACCAGAGGGTGCTGTCAAGCATCGGTTTTCCGGTCGTTACCGGAAAACCACACCGGCGATCCCTTTCCGAGGTGGGGATCTCCGAAGAACCACGCACATGCTGAGGTATACAGAAGAATATAGCAAGGCGAGCAAGAACAGCAACATCGCCAAAAGGTGCACCTCTGAGTGTACTGCCAGGGAGCATGCAAAGCAACTCGTGGATCATGAACTCAAGCTCCTGAAGCTTCTTTCAGGTAGAGGCATACTACATGTCGAAGATCTAACACTAGACCTGGTAAACAGCTCACCCAACCTCTGACACCCTTGTCTGTGGAGCCCTTCCCCGCCGCCACTTCCTGGATCTGCAAGTCTTGCTCTGTCGCATCCGGGTGTGCTTCGCTGTGGAGTAGGGGCCCTGGGCATGGTTGGTTTAGGGTTTATAGGGTTTAGGGTCTCTGACGCTTTGAACCGCGGATGTATCCTAGCCGAAGTTCATGAAGTGTACCTCTGGTCTCCGTTGTAGTTCCTTTTTTGGTTTGTCCAAATACATAATTAGGATCCTATAACGTAACCCGTGCTCCGATTTGGAACACCCTGCGATTGGTAACCAGCCGGGCTTATTGAAAAGGCCCAAAGCACATTGAGGCAGCAGTCTCGCATCGGAGCCTGAATACTTAGAACAACAGAGCATGGGTAGTATATTCACAATCCGGGTGAACAACGAGCCTCAGAGACCAATATCAGACTGCTACTATGTATTCAAGCCTCTATATATTAAGCATGCACCACGACTCCCGAACTGCACTAGCAACGCAAGGACCTCTTGAACTCAATACAGAAGGGATCTAAAGCATTGGCCACAAGAGACACTGTTAGGGTTTGTTGTTGCTTTAGGTTCGTGTGCAGCTCTTTTGCACCAGTTTATGCGCGATGACTCGATTCAGTGGTTGATTGCCTACAAATTCTGTGCTCTCTCTCTCTCTCTCTCTCACTCTCGTTCTCTTGTCATGCCTGCACTTCTTAACACCCAGATCTCGTCGCTGCACATCACAGCCCCAATCTTAGTTAAATAAATATGGATTCAGGAGGTGATATCGTGAATTGCAAGCAAACCCACTCGCCGAGAAACCGATCTTGGCAGACTTCTCCTGCAGTGTATATGACACGAACCAGCCGGTCGTGCGCATTCTAGGACGTTCTAACATATGCCCATTTTGGGATGCGTTGCCCTTGTGGTCAGGATCTGAGCAAGAGTGAAAGAGGCCAGAGGCAGGCATGCCTTGTATGACTATACTAGTTACAGGCACGGAAGATTGCCGGCATAGACTGGGCTCAAGGGAACTGCGTGTTTTTATCCCAAGCCAGCAGAGAAGCTCAACATGCGCCGAGAGCACAGAAACGAGATCTCCAACAAAGGCAGCCACTTGTCAAACTTCGTCAGCCCCAAGGAACGTCCCGGAGGGGGCTTGGCTATACCTGTACCGTATACTACGCCGTATAGATACTAAGGCCCGACAAATATGCCATTGGGCCTCGTAGTAGCGGAAGAACCGTACCCTTCGCACGGCATACCTTCAACGGGAGGCATGTGCTCACCAACACTCATTGTTTCTTGATTTGTTTAGAGTTCTAATGCGAAGTTTATGAGTGTAGAAAGTGTGCACACACACCCAACACACATGCAAACCCACTTATTCTCGGAATTGCATCATTAGGTAATAGGTGAGTTATTGGGGCACGCTGCCCTAGCTTGATGCAGCCTCGGCGCTGCCCCTCTTGCGCAAGGATCTCATTCACGTGTGTCTGGCAACCACTCCGGATGTCCTTGAGCACTACCTGCAGCTCACTCACCTCAGGGCCAAGAGGTACGATATTTAGAGCTCACGAATAACTATCAAATGTTAGGTGAAGGAGATGGGTTTCTGCAATCGCGGACAGTGCGTGGCACAGACTCGGAGAAGCCTCGACCCGCCGTAGTGCACTGGTTTTTCAACCCAGCCTGCGAATCGAATAAGATGTCATAGACGTCCCCCTCAAAGACAATGCCACTCGAGCCGAGAGGAGCGTAGCTGGGACCCATGCCTGGAGTCTGAACCGATCCAAGAGGTTGAAAAACAACCTCTGAGGGGCAGCAGTTCCCGATTCGGGCAATCTCAATCCGGATCTCAGCAAATCTTGGCGGACCAGGAAATTGTGGAATCTGGAGAAGTGGTTCCAGATCACTTTGAGATCCTCCGCCCGGACCCTGCAGGAAGGCCCCTGCCCATCGAACAAGATAGAGCAAAGGAACGGGGCCACTGGATTGAATTTCCGCCGTCGTCCCATCTGCGTTCACAAGCCGCGGGGGTTTCCCGAAGCCTGGGAACCAACACTCCTCTGGAAAGGTCAGAGACCAAGGCAGCGAATGCGTCTCGCGATTTGGGAGGCAACGCGAATCCAAGGCCGTGTAGACGACGATGCTCCTTGGCTCTGAACGGAGACAGGATTTTGTGGTCACTTTCGGATGTTTCTTCATCGGGTGAAAGCAAAGCCTCATCCCTGTCTGACGTGGTATTTTCTACTGCTCGCAAGAGATCACAAGCTTTCCTGAATTGGTCCTGCACTTGTGAATAGTGGAGAATTCGAGAGGCTGTGCAGAAGCAGCAGCAGTACCTTGGCAACCCCGAAAGGCACAAATCTTGAACTGCGAACACTGCAGACTCCGTGTCTCTTTCCAAATGGCGCGAGGAATCCAAACATGGACGGTAGTTGGTCTGAAGCTGCAACATTTGTTGGTATCAGCAGCATCAGAAGCAGCAGTGGCAGCGGCCGCAGTAGCTATGTAGTCGACGTAGACGAAACAGCAATCGTCTTCGTCGTCGTAGATACAGATACAGGAACAGCAGCTGCAGAAGCAGTAGCAGTAGAAGTAGTCGTTGTCACCGTCGTCCTGGCGGTGGTGGCGTAGCAGTTGGGGTAGCGGTAGTGGCAGTGGTAGCAGCACCAGGAGGAGCAGTAGTAGCAGCAGCAGAAGCATGGCGAATGGATAGTATCAGCAAAACGACTAGAAGAAAGCAGTAAGTAGCAGCGGTCTCCATACTGGTACAGTCGCCTTGAAATAGCTGTCTCGGTGTAGGAAAACTACTGTTAGTGCCACCGCTACGACTACTGCCCTTATGTCCACAGCGGCCACGACTGCTACAAGTACGACGACCCTCTCCTCAAGTGATTAAAATCGCTCTCTTCCGGTGTTCCCACCACACCACAAACCCGAAACCCTATACACCCCAAACCCTTGTTTTACATCAGGACTTGTGCAATCGCCTGAACACTGACAAACCCTAAAACCCTAAACCTTTTTCAGACGGAAGAATCTCGATTCCCGTGAGGTTGCCACGGCGCACGGCTCGACGAAAGGAGGCCGAGGCTTCCGCGCCGTGGCTAGTGACCACAAGGCGGCACACCTTTTCCAAGGTTTAGGGTTCAGGATTTAGGCACTTTTTATGGGACATCGTGCGACTCTTTCCCTCCCGGTTGCATGCTATGTTCGCAGCACTAAACCATTCACCTTCAGGCTTGTTTACTGTATACATGTCGTGAACCCTTTCGGGGTACTCATAGGCTCCATAGAAGTTCCTTGTTGGGGTTACCCCACAGGATTCTAAATATGAACCCCAAAAGGAGCTACTATGGAGCCTCTAGGTATAATACGAGGAGGAGTCGAACCAGCGATGTGCTTTACCCTTAGAAATCATTGGAGATGTCCACCGTGCACCCATGCCGAGGCCTGCGGATGTTAATGCATCGACCTGCATGATACAATCGCAAGTTCACGTCCCGCTGGTATGCATTTTGGATGAGCATATCTAAGAGCCTGTGCGATATCTATGATGCGAGAAGACATGGCTGACAGTTTGCTCTTCTTCCGAGTCTGGTGTCGCTGGCGGGCTGATGAGCAAGTCGGATATGTAGCTCCCAGTAATCGTGCCCACAAGACCTATACGCAACACCAAAAACACCAACGACACCAAACAGGATCATCCAGAGCAGCGGGACAGACAGGTACTATGTTCGCATTGTCGGCTGTAGCAGCGCCATCGTTACAATCAGAACCAACATCATCATCTTCACCATGTCAACCATCAACAAGCAACGGCAACATCAACATCATCATGATGTTGACACCATCACCATCGTCATTTACAGCATCATCGTCGCCATCAAGATCAAGATCATTATGGTCACCATCATTACCGCCATGCACAACATCTTCACCATCAGTATCATCTCACCAGTCCGTCGAGGCAGAGCTACCGAAACTGCGCTGGGAGTAATGAGTATGTCGGATCGAATATGAGTCTCGAACTTAGGGATTTGCGATAGGAGTTTAGGCCACGGGGTCTCCGGTCGACAACTTACGCCATCACTGCCATCCCAACATCTCACGACCTTCCCGCCAGCCCGGAAAGCGTCGACAGCAAGGATCCCGTGAGCCGGAGATCGCAAGCCCCTGCCGAAGCGCTTAATATATGGGCCTTAACAATTAGAATAGGGTTTTGGGGCCCATTATACTATAGTACATAGGAAAAATAAGGAAACCCCCACCACATTTATAGGCAATTATTAATACGCCCAGCCTTTGCATGCCCGATGAACTGGGCCGCCTCTGCTGCGAAGTCTGGGCCTTGGTCTCAGGATGAAACGAGCTCGGACTTTCCGTGACGTCAGCCTTGAACCCTAAAGCCTACCTTTCCCCTGTCTAACCTACCTTCTTAGGGTTCCTTATTATGATTTCCTTATATAAGTCCTTAATGAGGTAGGTTATTCCGGGTTAAGGTAAGCCCTATACCCAAAGCCCTAAACCCTACTTGGAGAGGCAGGGGACTTAGTAAGTCGTTTATAAGTAGGGTTATAATTGGGGAAACTCCGTTTAGGGTACTTATAGCTCTACTTGTATAACCTACTTACTAAGTCCCCTGCCCCTCCAAGTACCATCACCCCTGATCTGCCCTGAAGCGCTTTCTCGGACAGCCGAAGGCTTCAGAGCACTGCCTCCAAGAGCGCCAGACTCCCGAAACGGGAGTTTCCGGAAATCGGGGGAATATGGTACCCTAAGTAGTAGGATCCTTACTATAAGGACACCAAAATAAGGTACTCCTGTATGGAACCCTAAGTAGTAGGATCCTTATTATAAGGACCCCAAAATAAGGTACCCCTGTATGGTACCCTAAGTAGTAGGATCCTTATTATAAGGACCCCAAAATAAGGTACCCCTGTATGGTACCCTAAGTAGTAGGATCCTTATTATAAGGACCCCAAAATAAGGTACCCCTGTATGGTACCCTAAGTAGTAGGATCCTTATTATAAGGACCCCAAAATAAGGTACCCCTGTATGGTACCCTAAGTAGTAGGATCCTTATTATAAGGACCCCAAAAGTAAGGTACCCCTGTATGGTACCCGAAGTAGTAGGATCCTTATTATAAGGACCCCAAAAGTAAGGTATCCCTAACTTTCGGAAACTCCCGACATGTGCCGAGGGGCCAAAGGCTCCTGCACCAACGTCCATCGCAGCGGGGGCCTCACGGAAAGGACGGTTTAGGGTTTAGGGTTTAGGGTTGAGGGTTTAGGGTTTAGGGTTTAGGGTTGAGGGTTTAGGGTTTAGGGTTGAGGGTTTAGGGTTTTTTACTCGACTGTGCCATTGCTCTTGTTAAGGGATTTAATTTAAGCTACCATAAGAGGGATCCATGGTAAATAGAATGGATTCCTTATCAAGCCATTGTAGCTTGTATCGAAAATGTGTACTGTTCCATTTTTGCTTCGGAGCTGAAGAACAAGAAGGAATGGCAGATTCATGAAGAAAGCTCCCCGCCCGTGACGTGTGCATGCTGCATTTGCATTTGGAACATCCCGGGCCATAGGCGGGATGTGCTGGTTCTTTCTCTGGAGAGCCCACCCAGATAACTGTTTCCAAATGACAGACACTCTACAGGCAAGGAGCACCCTAATGTCACAAGTCTTCAAGTGCGGCTTCTTTTCTCCCCTGGTTTCCTAACCGCCGGAGCTCCAGTAATCCCGAACCGACCCCTATCGTTTGGACCTTAAGAGTCAGAACAATGTTTGGGGAGGTATATTATACTATATATAATAACTTATTAAGGCCCTTACATTACCTGCCTCTGCTCCGTTCAGAAGCACCAAACCCACTTGTTTTGGCAGCCGGTAGCTCCTTAGCTGACAGTGCCAGGAAGCCAGATACTCATAGGGACCCTTAGGGGGGTAGGGGGAGGTGGGTATGGGGCCTTATTGTCCATAATAAGGACCAAGCAAGGTTAGTAAGGCTTGTTTAAGGAAATACCAGTACACCGCCCTCTAAGGATCCCTGTGGGGGCAGAAAGATGTGGACAAATACCAGTTGGGGCTTCGGCAGAAGGCCAGTGACGTCTCACTGCAATGCGGGTTCCTCAACGACTGAAACCTGCAGCCCCAGAAGACATCATCCATGAGCACAAGGGCAAAGGATTCGCAGGCTTGCCGAACGAATCGGGGGTAAAATGAACAAGGGAAGCTTGCCACCTGCATGTATGCCATACCCTGTGAATCCTTCCTGAACTAGCAAACCTCCTTTCGCACCTTTGCTAATTCCACTCAAAGGCTACACCAGCAACCCTGAACCCCTAACCTTGAACCATAAACCCTAAACTGACTCCTGAACATGGCTCTCGAGTGCAGCGTGGACCTGGCAGATACCCTTTGAGCCGGCAATGATGATTCCATACCTCGGGTTCCTTTACGGGCTGCTTTAAGGGTACCGCGAGGGATCCTTTGAATTTTGGACAGGGCTACCGTAGGAGGCTGTAAAAAATTCACACAGTTTTACGTGAATCAAGCTGGGAAGGATGACGTTGACAAAGGACCATGACAGCAATGGGCCATTCATCAATATGCCCGGCCACCGAATGCATCGTAAGCTTCCTATGTCTCGTCGGAAACCTGCTGCTGACCTGGCACTTTGCGCTGACCATGGGAAACTCAGAGTGACCGATACCTTGCAATGGACGGATACACATCCACTGACAAGCGGCCCTGTAGACATCAAGCAATGCTTGCTCACCGAATACTGAACTCCCGAGTGATAATATAGGTGCCTTAATAGATTAGAGTAGGTTCTTGGGGTATATTTCAGCGTAATCATAATAAGGAACCCCTATTTCTAATTATTAAGGGCTATACCAATTATTCCCATAGTTATATAAACAATAAGGGCCCTGTAGTAGTTCGCCGTGCTGCGAGTCAGATTCCAAGAGGTGTCTCAGGGATGCTGCATAGCTGGCGCAGCGACCATGGGTGCGCAGGGCCTTCGAAAGGATTTAGGGATTTAGGGTTTTAGGGTTTAGGGTTTAGCCTTCCTGTGGGTCCAGTACCCTCCTTTCACTGGAAATTGACTGCAGATTCTAGAAAGACTCTCCTTTTTACTCACACTAACAACCTTCTGTATTTGCGGATTCTGTATTGGTGTTCCATGCATAAAAAGGGCTTGGGGCTCCTTGGACGGCTATAGTGCAGCGGTCACGTTCGTACAGAATCGGGGCCGACAACTTTCCAGTAGCCTCAGCAGGAGATATACGGGCATATGCAGGTCCTACAGTATGTCTATATACAAAGCATCATCCACTCCTTCATCCTTCCATGCACTCATTGGCTCGTTTCTGTATTCGGTCTCTCTTACGACAGACATCCTGTGTGCTTGTCAAACCTATGTAACTAATGTATGTGTGCATGCATGCATGCATGTATGGTTGGAAGGATGTATGGATGTCTGTATGTATGTATGTAAGTAAGTACGTATGTATGTACGTACATATGTATGTACATATGGTAAAAATCAGCATGCAGAACCCCAGAGCACAGCATTCATAGGGTTGAAACTGTTAGCAATAACGGCCCGATGACTAACCCTTGCCCCTGGCAAAAGCAGCGCAACGAAACAGCAATTACAGCAACAGCAGTGACAGTAAAGGAACATACTCTTCATAGCCGTGCTTGCACATAAACAAACGAGAGTAATAAGGTACCTCTGCATGTACGTACGTACCTACGCACTCTCATATGTGCTTGCAGTGTACACACACACACCATGGATGGCTTCACGTGGCGAGAATCAGCGGGCGAGAAAGAAAGAGGAAAGTCTCGTGTAGCAGCAGCAGCTGCACCAGCAGCAGAAGCAGCAAACTTCATTTGTGAGCAGCAGAAAGAAGCACGTGGATGCGTTCGATCTTACGAAGCCGCATCTGAACCATGTCGACTGAATCCCTCATGGGCCTACTGCCTGTACCCGAAACCCAAAATAACCTTAAAACCCGCACGAACCCTAACAAAAACAAAACCTGAACCCTAAACCTGCTTTGCCACTGGGGTGACGGAGGTCTAGCCAAAACAAAAAATCGAAAGCTCCACCCCAAAACGGAAATCCCGCCTTGACCTCCTCTGAAATCTCTCGTCGGACCACTTCCTGGCTTAAGTTAGGCGGTTTAGGGGTTTCAGGATTTAGAGCTTTAAGGTGTTACAGTTTCAAGGTTTAGGGCGGGTGTTTTGACACTCACACTCGGCAATACCGGACGAGGTTTGCAGACGACTAAGACTCAGACAGACAAGGCGTCTGCCCACCAGTCATGGCGTCAAGCCAACGACAAGTAACAACCCACAAACTCAGCTCCTTCAAGAAGTGGCAAAGCCTGCCGTAATCGCTCGGGTCTGAGGCGCTTACGAAGACCGCATCTGAGGATATTCGATTTCAGCGGTCTTTCCGCTTCCTAAAGGGCTGAACCCTGAAGCGCCTAATGCCTTTGCCCTCTACCTCACACGCATCAGTCACAAAAGCCCTAAGTCAATCCTTAACCACAGCGCATGGTGTGCCGGAAGAACAGCTAGGGTTCGAAGTGAACACCGGAGTGAACTTCCGTGCCAGATCTGAGCTAACCCTAAACCCTAAGCCCTAAACCCTAATCAAAGGCTACAGCGACCGTCGCTTGTCTCAGCTTGGACTCTTCGCTGGAGACAGCGATGCGAACGTACCAAGCCTATACGCGTACGTACCCAGACGTTCTACAACCCCTTATAATCAAGGAATACACCTTAGATCATAGTCGGATCCCGGAACTAGTAGGAATAGGAATAGCTATTATTTACGGCGTCAGTCTCCTATGCTCGGGTTTAAAAATGGGGGTTTCCGAAAATATGGGACCCCAATATAGTACCCTCAATAGTAGGATCCTTATTATAAGGACCCCAGAATAAGGTACCCCTAATTTTCGGAAACTCCCAAATAGCCCCAACGGACGAGGCGCCTGCTCTTCAGCGGACCGGGCATCGAGGAAGGAGAGGACGGCAACACGGTCTGCCTGGTTTCGATTCTCGCATCAGTCAGTTTAATTTAGAGGTATGGGCACTAAACAGTAGAACATAACCTTGGGGTATCCTTTATGCCACCAAAACCGTCAGCATGAAATAACTATTCAGAAGAAAGCCTCCTTTCCATAGCAAGGCTAGCTCTGTATATTTCAACGATGTAAATCTAGGCTTTAGAGCTTACGGTTTAGATTCAATTTAGCCCAGGCCCCCCGAGCAGCCAGAGCAAGATCATGCAAACTGGTACTCGAAATTCCGCACGGTACACACCCCACATGACCAATCCTTTCCTGCGGCCATCAAGTTTAGATCAAGACCCTCCCCGCCGGTGACCTAGGCCATTCCTACGTACAGAACCCGGATATCTCTCAGGCTGCTGCAGCAACGTGCGATGGAAGCCGGAAGATCAAAATCCGAAATCGCCAAGAACACGAATATACCGAACCCTATTCATGGTAGGATCCTTCTTCAGGATCCAAGGCACCCGTAGCAATAGCCTGAAATCCACCATGCTAGTCTATATACCCTAAACCCTTTCAGTCCGCAGGAGATCTAAAGAAACCCCTGCCTCGCACACCGCATGCTGGAGCATGTCCACCTACGCCAGGCGGCATTCTGGGTTCTTTGCTTGATCTTGGGCTAGGGAGCGGAGGGGAGGGGAGGGGAGGGGAGGGAGAGACAGCGAGGAGGCAAAGAGAGAGCAAGAGACGGAGAAAGAGAGAGACAAAACAACGTGCTGTCATGAATGCTTTTAGACTTTTAAGACTTTAAGTATAGGTAGACAAAGACCAAGGATACAGTTTAAAGTGAATGCAGACTTGAACCGCTCACTGACGTCTGCAACTTTGCACATTGGCCAAGATAGACATCTGGACCGCAAACTCTGCCAGTCGGGCCCGTTCGATCCACTTGCCGCGTATCCTCCTTGTTACTTCTGCCCCGATTTGAAGTATGCGGAGCAGTTGCTGCTGCCCAGGCGAGGAATTCAAGAGGACACTTGAGTGCGCAATTGGGGTGGTATGGCCGCTTCTCAAGTAGACTGGCAAACTGAAACATCGTCCGGACGACCAAGAAGGGCAAGAGAGAAATCGAGGCGAAACAAGTCGTGGATCCAGCTGGCACTCGTAGCGTATATGTATTCACACATGCATGACCTAGTCGTTGCAGGGACGGCGGCATTGAGAAGTGAGTTCACGCATGATATCCTCGGAAAGGAACCGGTGAGGCTGCTGATGAAGGCGGCCTTCGTGTTGGCCAGGGCATGTGTGAAGATGGTGGTTGCATGCATGAGAAGATGAGGAGTAAGGAAATCGCGGTGCCATTGGTGGCGATGATATGCACGGCCCTACAAATTCTGTTGGTGATACCCATGGCTGTATCCGAGTGTGTATGAAGACGAGGATGGTAAGGATGACGATGTCAAGCAAGCATGACCACGAAGCTGTTGATACTGGCAGTCATAGCGACAATATCTCTTGACGGCAAACATCGTGATGATAGTGTTGAAAATGGCCAGGTTGTGGTGATGGTGTTTGCCCATGCTCGCATCGTCCGGAGGGCCATGAGGATACCCAATAATGACGAGTGTTTGGGTGGTAGTGCAACCACAACTGTGATGACAGTGTTTCTGTGTTGCTGATGCTGCTGATGCATGAAGACTATAAGACTATGGTGACGATGGCAAAGACAAGAGGACGAACATCATGAACAAAATGATACTTTACTGATTATTCTCCGAACCCCGAAACCGTACACATGCGCTTATCCGAGCCCACCTCACGTCGGAATGCCCGCGCTGGCAAGCGAAGGAGCAACTTAACCCGGCGAGCTCGCAATACAACGGTAGTATATAAAAGGACCTCAAACAGTCGGCAACCTTGAGTGAGACATCTCGCAGCAGCGCGCCATATATGAAGCCTGCATTGCCCAAGTAGCCTGCTTCACCTCGGTGATAAAATCCGAACTCATGCGAGATTGAAAACTCTGTGAAGAAGTGGGCGGTGCCGTCGGTCTGAATTGGGGCACCATATAAGTTATGCCGTGTTACGCTTTCGAGTGGCCGGGCTTAGCGAGGAAGCAGCCGTACAGTCAAAAGTTTCTCCAGCATGTGCATCTCCACTTAAAAAAGCGACGTGGCAACGAGAATGACAACACATCACCATTGTAATACCTATAAGAATGCCCATAATCATACCTATAATGATTCCCACAACAATACCCACTGTCATATGTTCGTGTCAGGAGGCGCTCCCAGGCATAGTGGAACACCTGTTCTGCGCCGATTTGAAAAGGGCACGCTTCGGCGCAGGCTTTACGACGAGTGCTGTTACAATAGAGCAACTCTCAGAGTTTACCTGAACTAAGTGCTGCCTGGCAGGTGTGGCAAACCTGCATTGCCAATCTATCCACAAGCAAGGCTAGACCTTCTAAAGCGCCACATAACTTCTGCTCTTCAAGCGCGCATTCGGCACGAAGTCCGACTGTCAGAGCTCTGAACTCGGGGCCTCCCCCATAAAGCCGGGAAAGCTGCAGCCCTCCACGCTACGGCGGCGGATGCGTTCCTGCCCAGCAGCTTCGGCCCGAGGCACGAAGGGTCCGAGTATCGATAGTAGGTACTTAATGGATATCTGGGCAGCAAAGGTATATCAGTATATCCTATGACCTATGACAGTATACCCAGTGGATTCATGCAGCTCAAAATCGTTACAGTGCACGGATCTCTGCTTTGCAACGCATACTTCCTACGGGCAACATCGTCGTTAAAATGGCCTCTGTTGAGACTCGAACGACACCTCCCCGTCCATCGGTGACGAATTTTCCGTGGGCCAAGGGCACCTGCAAGAGAATTGCATAGTCAAGTCCCGGATTGCCAAAAAAACAGTCTCGGATTCCTGGTTCTGACCAACCAACTCGAACATCCTTAAAAGCCCTAAGCCCCCAAAACCCAGTGTTTGCGAAAGCCGCAATGCTTCAACCGCTAAACAGCAGCGGAAGTATGCAGGGAGCCTCCAACCCAAGGCCCGCATTCGTGCCCAGGCCAGCGCCGACAACGAGAATTCGAAGCCCTTGTGGAGTCGAAAAAAAGGGATCTTAATAACTGGACAAAGGCTCCTTTAAAGTGTTCCTCTAACAGTTCTAGGTTTCTCGCAGGTGTGAGGCTTCGCTATAGGAGCCATCATGTGGGAAACGGATTAGCAAACGCCCCCCCCCCAATTATGAAGGTCGTCCAGGTTCATAAGCAACCCCAAAAAGACGCCGGGACCTGATTAAGTGGCAAAGCCTCGTTTGGGGGTTTGGGCGGCAGTAGTAATACAGTAGTGCGGGAGTAGTGTAGTAGTAGTGGTAGTAGTAGTAGTAGTAGTAGTAGTAGTAGTAGTAGTAGTAGTGGTAGTAGCAGCAGCAGCAGCAGCAGCAGCAGTAGTAGTAGTAGTAGTAGTAGTAGTAGTAGTAGTAGTAGTAGTAGTAGCAGTAGCAGTGGCACTAGTCGTCGTCGTAGCGGTAGTCCGACCCCTCTAGTGTAAGCCTGTACGATTTAGGGTGCAGGTTTAAAGTGTCGGGCGCCTGGGGATCGGGAGTCTATGCTTCACTTCACAACTAGAGAGCAAGCCCGTCACACTCTAACGAGGCTAGGGTTCAGGGCTTAGGGTTTAGGGTTTAGGGTTTAAGGTGTAGGGTTTAAGGTTTAGGGTTCAGGGTTTAGGGTTTAAGGCTTACAGGGCTTATAGGGCTTGTGCAAATTCACCTAGACCACCCGACTACCAGAACTAGGCTTTGGGGTATCGATCTGAAGTTCGTCTGGTCCATGTGCTCTGGGGCCTGTTTTTGAAAAGGAAACGAAACAGCCGAGCCCCAAACCTGAAAGTGTACATGGGTCTTGCGGAAGTGTCGCGTCTGCACTGTGTCAGAGACCCAAACGCCACAGACCTATGACTCTTTTCTGGCTCAATGAACCAAAACCTCCTGAATCCTATCGGAGTCAGCACTGGCACATAGCAAGGATGGGCTAAGGCTAAAACAACTAGACCTCGCCCACCCGGTCCACCAGGAAGTGCAGGAAGTACTACACAGTGAGACTGAAAGCTGATTCAGACCGACACGGCCTAAAATCTCAAAACGAAGCCATGTAAAATGCACCGTTCATGATTAATTAAGCGACCAGTTCCAAGCAAACAAATCCCGCTGTCGCAGGGAGGCTTGCGAATCCAAACTCACAGCCACTGGTAGCAGATCAGGATGGCAAAACAACGCGCCGTCTACTGAGACAAGAACTGCACAGCTTATACTTAAACAAGAAAAGGCACACAGAGAAGATGGCAAGAGAACCCCAAACCTTAACCCTACGCATGCAGGTACTTGAAGAGAGCCTCTGGAGAAATTTCTGCCTCCCGAAAACTGCTGAAGCCCTCTTGGACAAACGTCTATACTGCACTGGGACCTCAGGGACAGTTGCACCCCTGAACACTGTTTGAACCACCGCCTAATATCTAACGCAACCTCCACCGATTGCTCAGAAAGAATCTTACGGAATCCTTGTAAGACCCTTATTAAGGAACCCTTAAAGGTCCAATATTAAGGAAACCCTTAAAGGAACCTTACAGCGATGCCACCTTGGTCGGACGAAGGCTCGCCAGATGCCATGCCATCTCCATGGCTCCGAATCCGAAGATCCCGGGCCCGGGCTGCAGAGTTTCTGGGGTGTAGGGGTTGAAGGGTAAAGTAGGTGTTAAGGGGCTCAAGGTAAAGTAGGGGTTTAGGGGTTGAAGGAGAAGTAAGGGTTTAGGGGTTGAAGGGTAAAGTACTAGTAGGGCTTTAGGGTTCAGGGTATAGTAGGGGTTTAGTGGTCGAAGGTGTAGTAGGGGCTTAGGGGTTGCAGGTATAGTGGTGGTTTTAGGGGTTGTATAGTACTGGTAGGGGTTTCGACCTTAGGGGTTTCGGGTTTAGAGTGAGGGCAGTTTGCAGGGCTCAGAGTGTAAAGGTTTAGGGCTTAGCACCTAGATTTCACGATTAGGGTCGCCCACCGGGACTCCGGGGCTATTTCAGATGGGGTGCCATGTATTTCAACAGCGCCGTTCAGCATTCTGCGCTAAGATGCTTCCCCTGAGGGTTCATGAGGGCCAACTAGAACCTTCTGCGCAGCTTCGAGCAGCGATTTCACAAGTCACTTTCACTGCTTATCTGCTAGTAGCTCTGGAGACTAGATAGATCAGAAAGACGTCTACGCAGAACCGTCAGGAACATCAACAGAAAACCTGAGAAAGGGGGCCAAGCAAGCTCAGAGGTCAGGAGGCCGGACCGATCACTGCGATGAGGCAAGATTGTGCACACTCCGGCTTCCATGCAGCAGGCTACCATTGGTTAAGGGTTTCAGTCTTTCGCGATTTCAAGAAAGTAGGTAGCGACAGTGCAGATAAGCGAGGCTGCTCAAACAGATCAAACGCCCTCTCGGCAAAAAGGGGAAAAACCTACAAGCTACACCCGAACTCTAAACCCCAAACCCTACCCAAACCTTACATCACTCTCCTCGTACCCTCATGGCAGTTTCCGAAAATAGGGAACCCTAATATGGCACCCTAAGTATTAGGATCCTTATTA